AACCTCCTTACCTGAGGTTCTTTTGGTCTCTTAAAAAAAACCTCAGAGGATTTGTTCTCTTGGTTACCACATACGGTTCACCCAAGAGATTTGGTAGTGGATTCAAGGCTTCACGCTGCCACTCACCAACACTGCATCTTGCGTCCCATACACCTAGCTTTACATAAATGTGCAATTTATGCAACACTCTGCCTGATTACAGCATATTAGGGGAATTTTCCTTCACCAGCTGTTGAAATCTCAAGTGTATAATTAATAGGGGCTGCAAATTTTGAATCAATGTCTATCAGTATCTATAAAAAGATGGGGCAAAGCACTGCAGACAAATGGTGGGTCTGTGCTCTTTGAGAAACACCATTTTGAGGAGAGGCCGACCAGAGGAGAGCAAACAGTTCAAGAGATTTCTAGATAGCTGCAAGGATGCATTGCCTAGCACTGAGGATGTGGGGCTTTGAGTGAGTTACCCACGGAGACTGCAGGATCCTTTCCTGGAAGAGCTTTGAAGATAGGGTGGTGGAGATAGAGAAAGAAAACGACTCCAGGGCTCTTGTTTCCAAGGCTCCTCTTGCCCTTATAGCAGAACAGCGTTAGCTCGCACGGGCTCCATGAATTCACAGAGATGGATGAAAGCTGTAAAAACACATCAGAATTACTCTTAATAATGTAAATTCCCTTTCTGTCCTGTGCTTTTTATGTTAACATTGTGTAGAATTTTGCTGAGGTATGTTTTCCTCAGGTAGAAGATTCGGGTTAATCTGTATATGTCAAGATTAATTGCTTAGTTATATGAAGCATACTTGAGACTCAAGTACAGAGAGACAGAATAAAATAAAATCCTGCACCACTCAATCTCCTTATTTCTGCAGCAGGCTCCCAGTTATTTATTTCTAGTGAACCTTTAGCTTTCTGCCTTTTCTCTCTCAGTCCATTGTTAGTAATGCTGACAGCACTAATGACACTAGTAATGTCAGTATTACTAATGAGAAATCCCCTCACACAAATCTCACCTAAAAGGGGGAGGGGCTAAAAAAGTAAAAGAATCAGATTCATAATCAAAGCCTTAAAAAAATAAGCACAAAAATGCTATTCAACACCCTGAACAACGACCCTGCCACTTCACGGAAGATGGCCTCTTCCTGAAACTTTCTGCTGCCATCTCGCCCTGAAACCCGATTAATCGTGATAATTAAGGGAACAAATGCAGAGGTGCGCATGTACTGACTCTCTTTCCCTACCACCCAGTAAGAAAAGCAAACGCATTAGGAGGGAGGAGTATCAGATGAGGAGGGGCACCCTGATCATTCCCACCGGCAAGGCTGTGGAAACAGATCTCTGTGTACCTGGATCTTGGCACATTTTAAACAAAAGAAAAACATGCCTCTCCTAGTGAGCAGCGTGATAGTGGGAAGCAAGTGGAAGGAGTCACTGGTGCAATTCCTCCCCCTTCCTCAGATTTTCAGGATGGGAGGGGAGGCCATGACCTCAGCTTGGCTCCCATTTGCTCTGTGATCTGGACTCTTGAGAGGCTTGGCCATTCTTTCCTCGCTTTAGAACTGTTTCTGACCCAGGCTTCAAGCAGGTCACTTATTCAGGACAGCAGTGGGCCTGGTGCCAGCCCTCGTGCCTTCGTGGGGGCCACACAGACACCCATAATGAAAAATGACAAGCAGCATTACTTTAATCCCTCCTTTCAGTTGGGCACTGAATAAAAGGTAAAACACACTCTGATTTCCTCACCAGGCCTGGGAAGTGGCTACATGATTTTGACTTAGCCTTTGTGTTTATCATGTCCTGCAATTTGTTAGGTATAGCCATGTAAGAAAAGCCCATTGATCAAATGCTGCAAAATAGGGAAGAGTGCGTATGAGCTGAACCTTCTGCCCCAACCGCAGAAATGGTCCTGAGCGCGCACAGCTGGGCTCCACTTGTCGCAGAGTCCCTGGGGCGGAGGCCAGTGTGCGGTGGGGCTGCTGCGTGGCAGGACTGCAAGGCTGCTGGAACTGTCTCACAGTCTGAGGTTCCTGCAGCTTCCCTGGAGGAGGATGGGGCACACTCTCCCGTATTTCTAAACACAGTCTCTTTTTAACTCTGATGTTGTCATAATACTGTTTTATTTTTCTTTCTTAAAATGGCTTTCTTGAATTTAACTGTTCAAAAACATTACCCTGAGACCATTTCCCTAGATACTCAAATAGCCTGATTCATAGTGACTTACCCCTACACACATACCTGCCTATATACACACAGGAACAACACATGCCCACTCAGATATGCACAAGTGCATTACATATAGGCACCTACACACAAAGACACCTATGCGCGCATACACCTGAATCTCCATCAAAGCAATCAGCCATTTGATTTGCAGCAGTGCCCAAGAAAATGTCGGAGAGAGGAGACTACTGATCCATCAGTGAAGGAGCTGGGGCTGATTTGCACGTCCATGCTTTTCAGTTTGCTGCTCTTCAACATTTACTGAGTGGTCTGCAGATGAACCATGACTGGGCAGCTTCGTCTTGTTTTGTTTCTTTTAGTGCAGGCTGGTCTTGAATTCACTATGTAGTCCAGGCTGACCTTGAACTCACAGCACTCCTTCTGCCTAAATGAAAAAGCAAATGAACGTCCCTGGCCATGGGCAAGGATTCCTTAGGTCCTGGCTCATTGTTAGAGGCCCTGTAAAAAGCTGGAGATGTCCCTACCATATTCCTTAGCTCCTTTTCCTCCTGATGTGTTTCCACCAGCCCCAAGGTCCTTCCTGCATCCTCTCCACTAGTCAGACCTTCCACAGGGAGAACCAGAAGGAAAGTGAGCCAATGAACCAATTCACACCCTGCTGCTAATGGGAAGCAATGGCTTCTGAGGTCCGCCCTGTCACCCAGCAGGGCGCTCCATTTCAAAAGTGCATGCCAGATAGAAGGCCTGTTTCATCCAACTAACCGAATGTTTAATAACATCATTCCACAAATTGGTTGCAGATGACAGTGCTCCATTCCTATTACATAGGTCCACCATGCCCAGTCACAAAGCAGGAGTCCTAGTAAAAGCCTACACACATTCTTTCATTCACTCGACAAGCATGTCATGAACCCCTCTGTGTAGTAAGTACAGGGGATGGAAAGAAAAGAGATACCCAGGCTTGCCCAGAGATCTTCTCAATCAAAGAATGAAGCCAAGGGATACACTGAAAACACACATCAAATTCTCTAACACATGAAGCACAGCTGCCTGGTATGTCTCTGTAATTTCCAGACTCACCCCATAAGAAGCCAAACCCCTCAGATTTCTGTTATTTAAATTGCTGATTTTATCACCCTGTTTTGTCTGACTTGCCTTGAAGGATTCTCCAACTCTGGGAGATAGCGTATTCACCGAGGTGACCAGCTGTATCATCTGTATCATCTTCACCTGTCACTATGAGGAACAGACAACTTCCTGAGGTTTGAACCAGAGCCTGGCCACAGCTCTGTTCTACTGCTCGGGATGTCTGTGCCTACACCCATCACATTCATCCGCTCGGGGACAGCCCAGCCCTGGGCCTTTGCCTGGAGTCGAGGGGAGGCTTACAGTTCTGATGTTCCCACACATATGTCCCCATCAATGACACTGATGTGCTTAGATTGCAGTTCAACAGACCTAACACTTCTAAGCGAGAATGTCAAGTGCTTACAACCCCTCCTTTGTGTCCCGGGGTCCAGCCTCACCTGCAGCCTGCCTGAGAACCAAGACCCAGTCATCCCGCCGACAGAAAGAGGTCACACCGAGCAAAGAGCCAGGGAAACATTTTTGCTTATTTATTTCCTGGGTGGAGGGGAATGTTGCTTCAGGAGCTGGGAAGACAGAGTCCAGGGAAGGGCACTGAGGTCACTCAGGAGCAGCCATCCAGATCATTTGTAGAATCTGTATGTCCTAATGTGTAAAGAGAGGAGCAAAAGTATTAAGTCAATGTTTAATATTTTAACAGCTAATATTTTTGTTTAGGTCCTATTGACACTAAAGTAGAACTGTGATTTTTTATAATCTTTTTATATGCAAATTTGACAAAACACTAGAGCTGTTATACAATCAAGCTGCTCAATATGCACATTGTATAAGGGCTGCTGTATAGAATAGGGGTAAAGTACTGAAATGGAAATCAGGAAACACAAGTTCTAGACCTAGATGTGTAATTAACCTCTCTGAGACTCATTTTCATATCTTAAAAATAATGTTAGATTAATGATCGCTTAGGTACTTTGCAGCTCTAAAATGCAATGACATAGAGCATAATTTGACTATTTAAAATTAGTGCAGGCATTGATAATTATTGCAGCTTTGCTTTTATGACATAATGTGAGTCATGGACATATCATTTATCTGGTGCCATAACCTCCAACTGAAACACTGCATGACAAGAGTATTTAGCTAAACCACATGGAATTGCTTATATTTGATCATTTTTAACCTAACAAATGGAATTTCATGTTGTTCAATTCTTGCCTCTTTTAAAAGGATCTACACTAAAGCAAGATTTCCAGGTACATGATCATTTTTTTAAACTATATGAAAATGTACAATAAACCTGAGAATAGAAAAAAAGTGTATCATATAATATATTCGCTATAATGCCTCATAATTATATACCTTAAAAGTGAACATAAACTTCCTCTTCCCATATTCTCTTGCTACTATAAAAATTTGCTGAGTGCTTTGTCATTTAAAGCAGCTCCTCAGGCTATTCCTCACATACCTCTAAGAAATGGGAAATAGCCACAGTGCAGTGTTACAAAGAGGAAACTGAGGCCTGGGGTAGTTTAGTCAGGTGCTGGAGACATAGGGTTGAGTTGGAATTGAAACCCAAACAACGGGACTACAGAAGCCTCCCTCGCCCCTCCTGCCAGATGTCCAAAATGAATATCAACAATTAAGAAAGAGCCAAACGCAGGCTTAATGATCACTGAACAAGCTGAAACTGAGGGTGCTGCATACAAATGTGATGAATACGCATTCACACGAAAGCTGCCTCACACTGACCAGATTGTCTTCTTTATGGTCTTGTGTCCTCGGGGCCCACAGAGCTGATACCAGTGTGGATTCCAGGGCTTGTCACCTCCTGAGAGTTTGGGGTTTCCCTGTGAAAGTAATGTTCCACAAGCTCCCAAAACTTCTGCTCTGAGAGATTGGTTCTGTGACACTGAGGCAGGCCTACAAATGGCTTCCTCTAAAAATGTCATTAGTGCGGATGCTCGTCATGGCGTGGTGCATTTCCACGAGAAGAACATGTGATCATTTGGCAAAAATCTAACTTTAAGAACACAGAGTTGATCACATCTCTTTACCACATTCGGGATGGCACAGGGAGGTGTGAGGTGATCAATCCTGGCGATGGCTGTCGCACAAAAATCGAGTCATACAATAGAGTTGTCCTGCAGGTTTCAACAAATATCAAAGGACCCATCACTGAGCTACACTCCTATTCCCTTTTCCTTTATTTAATTTTACAGCGATATCTCACTAAGTGACCAGATTGCCCAGTCTGGTCTCAAACTTACAATCCTCCTACCTCAGCCTCCCATAGACCACCACACCAACTTTAACATTTTCTGTTGTTATTTCATATATTTGTTACAGTAATGGAAATCTGTCTAAGAATTCAGTCAAAAAAGACAAATATTGGATGATTCTATCTTGTATTAGTGTCAGAGAAACAGAACCAACAGAATTTGAGCATATATATCCTATCTACATATTCTTCTCTTTCTCTCCCTCCCCCCATATACAGCATCTGTATGAAGTGTGATTAAAACTACAGGAAATGTTAGTGCCATGTGCCATCCCAGGGAAAGGAGTGTTCATAAAAACATGACAGTGTGCCCTCATTCACATTATTCATTGGATCTGGTACTGTGTGACATCTAGCTCTTCTCCAAAGTTAAAATGACCTGGAAAAGTAAAGGTTTTGAATCAGTTAAGAATATCCAGCTAGCCAGAGCAGTGCAAGTAAAGACACTCAGGAGAGAGGACACGAACTGCTTCAGGAAGTGGTGATAGCAGTGGGACACATGGATTCAAAGCAATAACAGAGGATTTTTAGGGGGATTAATGGCCATGCATCTTTTACTACAGTAAATTTTTAAAATTTAAATGCACACTGTATTTTTCAGTCACACATTGTCATATTAACCATGATATACTTAGATAAAATATTTAAAGTAGACAGATTTACAGAAACAGTAAGCAGATTAGAGGTGACCAGAGGCTGAGAGAGAGAGAATTGGAGTGGGTGGCTTTATATTTTACCAAAGTTTAAAACCAAATAAGTAAATAAATAAACACATTTAAAAAGTAATTCAAACACGCTTGCTTTACCTTTTTCCCAAAACACATTTTATAGCAGAAACACTCACATTCATTCTGCTGGGCAGGGGGAAAAAGATTGTACCTGAAACACTTGGTATCAACGACAGTGGTTCTTCCAAGGAGAAACTTTCCTTTTTCTTTTAGTGACAAAAGAGGAACCAGCCTTTCTGTCCCTTTCAACAGTCATTGCAAAACATGAGGTTTACCTACATTTTAAACTTAACACAGTGGTGCATGCTTGCAATCCCAGCAATTTGGGAGGCTGAGGCAGGAGCATTGCAAATTTAAAGACAGCCTGGGTAACTTCACAAGAATCTGCCTCAAAACAAAAAATAAAAAGCACTTAGGAAAGGATGGGGGGCTTGGGACACAGCTCAGTGCTACAGTACCCCTGGCTTCAGTACCCAGTACTAAAATTTTAAAATCTTTAGCTATTGTTTCTAGTATGACATATAAATTTTTAAATTGTAGTGGGAATTTCACAAAATATTTTCTTCCAAAATAAAATGAAAGCAGAAAGAAGCAAAAAGAATGTATCACTTTAAGTTCTAAGTCAAGGAACAGTAAAGATATTTAATAATCAGTAAGGGTCTCTGACTCCACCAGTTATGGGCAGCATTAAACCCCTCTCTGTCCACTCCAGTCCAGGTCCCAAGAGGCAAGGGGCTGCTTCGCTTGGCTAGCAGTAGCCTCTAGTGGCTCAGAGGTGTGGTCCCAAGAGAAGCAGCCAGGGCTGCTAGCAGGAGCAAGGACCCAGGGGAATGTTTATCTTCAGAACCTGCACTTGTGTCGTGGTGAACTGGACAGTACAGGCCACTGTGCCCCAGCATGAGATGACAGAGCTTCATATCAGTGTGTCCACAGGCACAGGTGCGTGGCTTTTCCCAGAGCTGTTGGTTCCGGGGGCAGGACACATTTGGGTGACCCTGCATAATTTGTACCAGCTGGTCTCCCGATCCCCAGGAAGAATACACTTATAAAGGCAAAGCAGCAGTTGTTGCTGGGGCTTCCACAATTTTACCCTGAGATGAAGAACCATGCCTCCAGTCATAGCTAATTTGTGAAATGATTTTATTAAATTCGCTTTTAATACTACAGATTTATAATACCTTCCAGGAGAATATGAATGTCTAAGTGAACAGATTTGACCTTTGTAGATTCAGAAAAAAAAAATTAAAATTTCACATAAACCCCGCAGATGAGGGTTTTCAGACTAATATTCATGTTATACATTGGCCATGGATATTAGTTTTGATGACTTGTTCACCTATTAAGGGTCCTTGCTCTGATCTAATCAGAGTGACATTCTAACAGGCATTATATTCATTTTGTGTTGTGTTTTTGGAGCTGGGAATTGAATCCAGGGCATGAATGACTCAGCATGTGCTCTACCACTGAGCTGAATCCACGGCCTTTGGCGTTACAGATGGACCTACCTGCAATGGTTACTCTGGCGTGCTTGACAAAAATGCATGAAGTCAGTAAAAATTCAGCAACTCACCAAGATGGTCCACAGTATTTATTCGGCACTATGAATGCTGCCACGGCAGGGAATGCAGGGAGAATGAGAACAGGGCGGAAGACAGACACGTGCACAGGAAAGTGATCTTGAAAGTCAAGAAAGGAGCATGATTGAACAGAGGCAAGGAAGTGCCTGGGAGAGTCAGGAAGCCTCCTAGGGGAACTGACCGGTTAGACGGTCAGGCAGATTTGTCTCCATGAACACAACTATCCACAGCCTAAGTGTCATGAAAATGACACTGAGAAGCCTGTGCCACGGGGGCCAGGCTCGGCTGCAGCACCCAGGGCAGGAGGAAGGGGGGACGCTGAGCAAGCTGTGCTGGATGCTGGGGCTCTGTGGGCAGCAGGAGACAGGTCCCAGGGGAGCCGCTCTGTCCCTTCCTTCCTTTTTCCCTGGCCAGTCTGCCCCCTTTGGTCAATTAATAAATGCCTAAGTTAGCCGGGCATGGTGGTACACACCTGTGTTCCCAGCACTCTGAAAAGCTGAGGCAGGAGGACCCCAAGTTCAAGCTGAGCCTGGGCAATTTAGTGACCTAGTGAGACCCTATCTCAAAATAAAAAATGAAAAATGGCTGGGGTGTAGCTCAGGGCAAAGACTGTGGGTCCACTCTTCAGTATTGCAGGGGGAAAATTACCAAGTCACTGTTTCTTATTTGCTGTACAGTGTATATATGTAGCTATACTCACTACAGTGGATTTCATGTAACCCTCAAATGTGCCAGGTGGGTTGTTGTGAAATCTCAGCGAACCAGCCAAAAGCTGACAGGTGTTAATCTCCCTTCTCCATCCTCCCACCCGTGATGAGCCAGAATGCTCATGCTCACTTCCACACAGCTTCTGTGCGTACTTGTGTCCACTATGAAGAAACGGCTGCAGTGTAGACTCAGCCTTAGACAAAACATCTCTGAGATATCAGGGTAAATATATTAATGATCAATGTCCTGTAGGATGATCCTAAGAAATAGATTTATTTGCCAGAGTGTAGATTTAGATGTTAAACTTGGTGAAGTTTCACTACAGTCACCTTTCTTTTCATTTTACCCATTTTGTAGAAAATTATACAGAAGATAAGTTAGAAGTTAAAAGAAACAATAGTGAGTGAAGAAAATAACAGCTCCTAAAATAAATAAATAGATAGGACAGTTTCAGGATATTTAGGGGAATAGAGAGTTTGACTTTTAGCCACTTTGATATCTTTGTACATAACATGCTGGCAGACTAAGTACAGGTTCCGAGAAGGGACAGAAAAGCATTTTACTTGAAAACCCTCTAAAACGATAGTGTTTGCTCCTTACTTCTGCCGACCTACTCGGCCTGGGCAGGACCCGCACAATGAGCGTTATTTGGTCTCAGTGATAAGCGTGGAGGTGAGTGACTGGAATTTCTCCTCGACGGTTGTCATGAGTTCAAATCATCTTTGTTTGTACCATGCACCTCATTTCTCTGAGGCTGGAGGAGGTTCTAGACACAGTGGAGGAAGCCAGACAGAATGTGTCCTGGAACAGTGCAGCACTGGTGACGAAGTCAGGTTCAGGAACTGTTAATCCATGGAGGTGCTGTTTTCATTTGATACGTGGCTGTCAAGTCTACAAAGAATTGACTGGGGGGTACAACTGCATCCCAGGGGGACACATGGATGCCCAGACTTTGTCCGCCAGTCACAGAGGTCCTAACCATCTCTGCAGGCCCAGGGCCAGAGCCTGCTGTGTGGTGTGAGGTAGGTCTTCCTGCACCCCATCTCTGCGCAGTGAGGAACAACTAGTGAGGAGGGGCCATCACTTGTGGCCAAGAGGCTTCTACTTCAAGCAGGCATGGTCCTGTGACTCTTTGGACCTCCCTTGTGCGATGCTGTTGCTCCTCATAGCTGGCTTCCTGGCTGCGTCATCTAGACGAACCAGGTTCTGCCATCAGTGAATCTCTCCTGTTGCAGGAGTCCTGGGGTGGGGGCTTCTCAGCCTCAGAACTGTTCACGTCTCTGTTCCTCAGCTTAGACATAGAAGGGCTGGGACAGTAGGCTTAGTCAATTGGCCTGGCAGTGTTCCCTTTCTTAAACTGCAGAGACCCAGAAGTCATTATTTTGTGTATACAAATGCTCTTTTATATGTAAAGATATATGGAAACAATTTTAAACATCAGAGAACTTTCTAATAGCTGGATGTGGTGATGCCTGTAACCCCAGTACTCTAAGAGGCTGAGGCAGAAGGATTGCAAGTTCAATCCTGGACTGGGAAACTTAGGCACTCAGTGAGACTTTCTCTCAAAATAAAAAATAATTTTAATTTTAAAAAATGGGCTAGGGATCTAGCTCAGTGGAAAGGCCCTATGTTCAATCCCCAGTACCATAAAACAAAGCAAAACAAGTTCCAGTTAACTCCTACCTCTGTCCAGTGCCCCATTTCTTCTTGTGCCATGTAAAACAATAAACACATTCTAGTCATCCATTCTCCTCCTTAAAACTCTAGTCCAAAAGGAAGAGGAAAAACAACAGGTTGAAGACCCATCATTCTGACAGTGTTTCAGCATTTTAAAGTATGTACAAATTTGTGTCCAGGCATGAGTAGTATGGGTCCCAGTGCGCAGGATGCCCACACTACAGCACATATCCACATCCAGAGCACCTTTGGGTACTCAGGCCCCTGGGCCCCCCATGTCAAGGCTTTTGACTTGGCAGCTCTGGAATTGAGCAGAATTTGCTCTTCTGAGAAGTTCTCAGTTGATGCTCCTGGTTTCTGGGTCATAGGGGTGGAGCTCTACTGGTTTGGAGGAAAGGATTCAGTGACTGTTACATTTAGATCTATAATTCCTGCAAATGTTTCATGTGTTCAGAAGTAGCGTTTTTGAAATATGGTTGGATCAGAAGGGCACTATGCTCATCAGCAGATGATCCATTGATGAGTTCTTAGCTTAATGTGCTGTGTGTATGTTGGGGGGGCTGACCTAAAGAGGTAGGTTCCTGAAGAGGTGAGTGGGAAGGGTAAATTCTTGTTCCTGGCACCTTCCTTTTCTGTTTGCTTCCTGGCCACCATGAGGTGAGCAGCTTTCCTCTCATGTGCCCTTCCATTGTGATACCGACTCCTCTTAACCATAAGCCAAGATAAACCTCTCCTTTTTAAAGTTGTGGGTTTTAAGTATTGTGTCCCAGCAATGGATAATCTGAAAAGAGCTGACACAAGTACTTTTGAGGCACAGAGTGTGTGAAGCAGCTGGAGAGACAAACTTAGAACTTCTCTTCTGTATATATATATTTTCAATACTGGGATTAAACCCAGGCCCTTCAGAGCGTGCTACCTCCAGAGCCCTTATTTCGTTTTAATTTTTTATTTCGAGACACGGTCTCAATGAGTGACTAAATTGCCCAAGTTGGGCGTGAACTTCTGCCTCAGCCTCCCAGAGTGCCTAGATTATAGGCATGTGCCTCTGTACCCAGCTAGCATTTTTTTGTTTTGTTTTGTTTTTGGTTTTTCTCTGGTACCGGGAATCAAACTCACGACATTGCACTTGCCAGGCAGGTGCTGTGCTGCTGAGCTAAATCCCCAGCCCCCCAGCTAATATTTTTAATTATAATTTTTTAAAGACTCAGCTGTTACCTGGACTCTGAGCAATGTTCCTTTCTATTTCGTACATCCAAGTAGATGACCTGGCTATATATCTGAGGAATCAAAAACATCATCATGTGTAAACATGGTTTACTCTTCAGTAATCAAACACAAAGCAACAAGCCAATCTGGCACATTATTAGTGATACATATCATTGTGTGATCATCAAGCAATAAGGTAAGCAAACTAGCGAGCTG